GATCTAAGGATCAAAGGCGGGCTCAGAAGACTAGTGTTGTGACTCGTGCCCCTCCCCCGCCTGCGGGTATGGCTCAAAAGGGGCGTGGGTCTAAGGGTGACCCCTTAGACGCGATATTTGAGGGTGGTGATCCAGACTAGGCGTTCTCAACGCTCTTGTCAGGACCAGAGTAAAACCTGAGCCATCTACTCACCTCCCTCTGAGAGTATTACATCTGCTCTCATCTTCCTCCCCTTAATTCCCCTAAAGAGCTTCCCTCCTGACTGAGGTTAGGTAGGAGCCTCCTGTGCTTGCATTGCAGTCTCTTATGCTGGGCCTATGATGTTTTGGCTAGTTTCTATGTCTCATAGAATTGAGTACAATCAATACTGATGGTCCGGACTCCAGTGCTCTTCGGACTTCGCCTACATCCTATATCCATGAGCCTGAGTCATGCGCGGGAGCCATGGTTGGTGAGTACGATCCATTTCATCTACTCTACTGCTAGTTTTTGTGTATTCGATACTAGCCTTTTTCTGCAGCGCTACTCAGACCTGTTCTGTTTTCTGACTTTTTAGGTTTGACCCCCCCTGCTAAGTCAGGACCTCCTGCTGTTGGCTGAGTATAGTGATGGTTTCACTCATCGGTACTGGATCCAGGCTGGTGATAGCCCTCATCTTCGGCTTGGACACGCAGCCTGGGCTTCTGCGGAAGCCTCCCAGCATCAGGTCCCCAGTATAACGCTGCAACCTCAGGACCTGCGGGTCCTTTTCACGGGCTGAGATTTTTTCCTGAGATTTGAGTCTTTCCTTAACCATCATGCACGTTCTCTGAGCTAGAGCTCCTCTCGCTGAGGCGTTGAGGAGCTCAACACTCCATAGACAGTCAGGCCCGCGGGTCCTCCCTGTCACACTGCCCTTATGGTTGAACCAGTAATTGCCCCTCTGCGGAGTGGGCTTGAGTACATTGCGTTCCCTGAGGTAAGAGGGATTTATGTTTCTGCGGAAACCCCTCTCGTATCTCGGGTCTGGTTATACGGGACCCACGCTCTCTATCGAGATCGAGAGCATGAGACCGTGTCCAACTGCACCAGTGGACTGTCTCTTATTGGGGCCTGCTGGGTTACCCCTTCTAATCTAGCGCATCCTTCTGGTCGAGCTGAGAAGTGCTCCCCTCACTGTGAGGGTTAGCTATGAGTCACTCCGAGTATGTGCTGTAAGGGCCCACCTCAGCTTGAGAGCCGAGAGAGCTGCTACCGAAAAACCTAATTTGTAGTGTTAGGCCCGTCTCTGTCGCCTCCTTGGTCATTTGCCTTTATTTTGGGACCCTGTTGTTCCCTGTAGAAATGTGTGTTCCCCTTCTAGCAGGATCCCATTTCTGATGTCCCATTTGCGATCCATCTGCTCCCCAGACATGGCTGTGCTCCCCTCACTGCGGGAGGGTCCCTTTGAGCTGCCGGTCTTGGGCAGACTGGGTGAGTCCTCCTCTTGACTTGGGAGTTAGGTCCCCTGACCCTGGGCCTTGATCGCTTCGGTCAAGCTGGGTTCCTCTCTCTCCTCACTAGGGGTTGAACCCTCCGCTCTTGAGCTCCGTGGCAGTGACATCAGATAGTTGGGCCGCTTGCTGCTTCCCTGATAAGCTGCCTCTATTTGGGTCAAGCCAGGCAGTGCTCCCCTAACCTTGGAGGGTTGTCTTGGAGCCTGCCGCGCCCCGATTGAGCGTCTGCAGACTTCTCTCATCGAGTCCTCCACTCGTTTGAGCTCCATTGAATAGCAGCCTCAGGTTGTTAGGCCTCTCTCCGCCTCCCTGTTGAGCCGCTCTGCTTGTGGGTCGAGCTTAGCAGTGCCCTTGGGGGTTTCATATGAGCACGCCCCTCTCGATCTGAGCTCCGAATCCCCCTTCTATTTTTGAAGTTGGGCCTCCGCTCTTTTGAGCTCTGGGTAGCAATCATGCCAGATGGCTGGGCCATGTCCTGCCTCCCTGGCGGGTTGCTTGTTAAGTGATCTAGCTGTGCTCCCCTCACCATGAAGGGCCTCTTGCAAGCGCATCGCTCTCTTCTGGGCATCTGTGAGCAGATGCTTCGGAGTCTGTTCTGTGAGAGTGCCACAGTCACGTAGGGCTCCTAGGCTGGTTTAATACAGCTTTGGTTACCCCTTAAGCAACGGTGTTTCTAAATCCATGCTATGGTAAAGGCACACGCTGAGCTTCTGTGCACTTTCTAAAATCCACATTGTGGTAAGTGTGCATGCTAAGCATTCTGCACACTTTCTAAAATTCTGTATGGTAAGGGTTACGCGCTGTCAGCCTCGTTCCCTTTCTCTGAGTAGGTTTAGGCCCCGGTTCTCACCTTGGGATCCACTCAACTTATGTATCTCTGTTGATACATTTCCGAGCAGGCTGTTGCTACCAAAGATCTGTCGAGTCAGTTCTTTGAGCAGGTTTATTCAGAACCGGCGTTAGCCCCCCTGGGTGGCAGGCCAGGGTCTGGTTTTGTTTTTAGACACCTGGCCTTATCCCCTTAAAGGAATCTCTTTCTTCTTATTCCAAGCCTTGAGCTCTGTCCTAGGCTTGGGCTTCCTAGCCCAGCCCTTAACAGGTAAGTTGTTTTAGGGTATGCAGCTCAGGCCCTTGGCCGAAGGGGATAATGTCACTGACAGCTGTCAAGACGTCCTTGGGGCAACTCCCATGACTATAGTAGAGTTGGTACTTAGTGCTCGCCGTGGTTTCTGGCATGTACTCCCCTGAGCATGGTGGCGTGGGTACACTGTTCCCCATAGCGACCTCTAGAGGATGCAGTTCGAAGTTCCCTCGGAAGGGAACGTCTCAGGTTATGTATGTAACCATGGTTCCCTGAGAAGGGAATGAGACACTGCATCCTCTAGTTTAGAGACCTGCACTCTTAGAGACCCAACGCAACAGGGTGCGGCGCGGGACAACTCTTGATGGGCGGGTGCGGGCGGGAAGAGACTCGTGTGTGTGTGGGATGTGGGAGAATATGCGGGACTCCCGCAAAATAGAAATTATCTAAACATAAAGTGTATAAAACATATACATTGTTATTTATCTGTTGCACAAAAGCAAAAAGAACAACTAATATTAACATTAAAATGATTGACATTCGCAAGCTATGCATAGTTTCTATTTATAACACGTGTCTAAAGGGTTGCGCAATGTGGCCAATCACAGACTCAGCTGTTGATTTCTGGAATGCAATGGCCAATCAGAGGTGATTAAGTTAGAATCTACTCACCACAGTGCTGAAATTTCGTGCTCACAAATCCTTTTATTTTAGCACACGAAGTGTAGACACTGTGAAAGATTCATTGTGCATATATTTATTGTGTTATAACAGAGCTTTATGAGATCGCGATTAACTGAGATGTCAGCTTTTAGTGATAATAAAGGAAGCGTGCTGCTCACATTCTGCCATGCCAAACCATGGTTGTCCATGCTTGCTTTTCTGTTAAAAATAACTGGTTTGTGAATTTCGATGCTTAGCCTAAATAACAAATATTTTATCGGGAGTGTTTATGCTGGAATGTTGTGGAGCTTAGGAGATGTTACAGAACCATTTCATGTAAATTTCTTCGATGTACTGAAAAAAATCTATATAGAATACTTTTATGCAGGCTTTTGTGTGCAGGAGCGGGACAAAACATGCATTTTTTTGTGAGCAGGAGCGGGACCAGATATATTTCTGCGGGAGCGGGACAGAATCTTGTGGGAACGGGACTGAAAAATGCGTCCTGCGCAGGCCTCTACTCTAGTTCCCTTGCCATGCTTCGGACGTAAACTTCAGACGAAGAAGCGCATGACGTGTTCTCAACTTCTCCTGGCACCCATTTATACTGTGGTCGCGCCGGGTGATGACGTCACAGATTGTCGCAGGCCAATGTTATTGGGTGCGTCTCAATTCAGACAGCCCTTAAAATGGCCAACTCCCTGATCATTGCCCTGACTACTGAACAAGGGAGCTGATTGAGACGCACCCATTGTAGTGTTTAGATGTATGCTTCAGACACTGCTCACGGCTGAAGGCGTTCCCCATAGCGACCTCTAGAGGACGCAGTGTCTCGTTCCCTTCTCAGGGAACCATGGTTACATATGTAACCTGTGACGTTTTTCATGTCAGTGTGCTAGTAGTGTCTAGCAGTGATTAGTAGACTGTCTAAACCTGTAAAAATGTTAAATAAATAAACAAATAAATAAATATGTTAGTTTTCTATATAAATGAATTTGTCTACAAAAGCAGTGCCGATCATTTAAGCAAAAGCTTTTAAATTAAACATTTCTGAGACGATTAGAATCAAAACAAAAATGGAAGTGCAAGGGAATCTTCTTTACACCATACCATTCAGTTTTAACAAGAAAATAATCTCATTAAACTTGTATGGGAAAAGATGACTGGTCTCAATAATGAGAGATATCGCCTTATTCAGTCAATGAAGAAAGTTAAACACCATGACTTTTCCTTGTCAGGTTTATTGGGGAAATCAGCTAACAAGATATATGATGATATTATTAAGTTTATAAAATAATGTGAATTAAGTAAGAGAATATAAATAATATGTTTATTGTTATTTATTAAGAAGAATGTTTTTGTTAAAGTGGTTTATTTTTTTTGGCCCTTTCCCCTCTTTCACCCATCATATACAGGTGCATCTCAATAAATTAAAATGTCGTCCAGTGATTGGCATGTCACCATATTCTAATTTGTTGAGATAGTGAATTGGTGGGTTTTTGTTAAATGTGAGCCAAAATCATCACAATTAAAAGAACCAAAGACTTAAACTACTTCAGTCTGTGTGCATTGAATTTATTTAATACACGAGCTTCACAATTTGAGTTGAATTACTGAAATAAATGAACTTTTCCACGACATTCTAATTTATTGAGATGCACCTGTAGATCAGTGAATTTGCCATTGTGATGTCATCTAGTGACATTTAGCTACCAGTTTTAGCTACTTTCAATTGAAAGCAGTTGGCAACACTGAAGATGACTGGTCTGGATAACTGGTTTCCAGGGGTGTATGTGATTCCCGGGCTGGTAGGCGAGGTTTGCGAGCTTGTGGTGGGGGTCAGACAGCTGTCCGGATCTCGCTCTGTGCAGTTTTCATATATGGTCACGTAATCATGGCAACCTTGACGTACCCATTCTAAAAACAGACCAGACACTACAGGAGCGCGTGGGTTACGGCGACGAAGCGTTTTGTACGCGTCCCACACGGGGAGACAGCATTACAACTGCATTTCTTTTGCAAGAAAAAATAAATAAAATAAACAGAGCAGCCAGCACACACCAGAGTGTGTTCACCAAGCGCGTGCGCTCCGCTTGATGAGCGTGGGTTTATTATTGTCCAAGAACGCGCGAGACCATGGAGAGTTTGGAGAGGCAGCTGATATGCCCTATTTGCCTTGAGATCTTCACCAAACCGGTGGTGATCTTACCGTGCCAGCACAACCTCTGCCGCAAATGTGCCAATGACATCTTTCAGGTACCGCCAATGTTTGCAAAACTTAAAGTTAACTATTTTTTTGGAACATGGTATTTCATAACAAAATATTTTAGGAAACATCTTGAGAAGCTGGTATGAACAGTTAGAATATTACTGGTTCAGGATTGTCTAGTGCTTGGAATGGCTTGGAACAACCAGTTTAGACTAGCTAATGCTTTCTAAAATGTTCCAAAAGTACCAGTTTAAGCTTGATTTTCCAGTGGTGATTTTAAAATCAGCAGCTGTACTGCTGTATAATGATGACAACTTCTTATATATAATACATATTTGTGTGTGTCACATTGGAGAAGTTGGTCAAGTTATGGGTGGATTTCATTCTTCCACTGAGACCAGATGTAATATAGACCTAGTATATTCCATTCCCTTGCAAGGACAATTTTTTAAAGTGCTTTTGTGTGTTTTAGGTCTCAAACCCCTACTTGCCCACACGAGGAGGTTCTTCATTGGGCTCTGGCGGCCGGTTCCGCTGCCCATCCTGTAGGCATGAAGTGGTTCTGGATAGACATGGGGTGTATGGCCTGCAGAGGAACCTGCTGGTGGAGAACATCATAGATATGTACAAACAGGAATCCAGCAGGTACTATTACTATAACTAAACCTTCCAGCTTAATATTCTCCTCTCCAATCATTTATGCTGTATAATCATTTGGAATCCTATTGAACCCATACTTTCCTCCCATTCTATTCTATTCTATCTTCTGTTTCAGCACGTTGTCAGTTTGTGTGTGTTGGGCTATATTTATAAGTAGGCCAATGTGACAGGAGCTATTTCAGACACACTTTCTGTGTTTATCAGTTGCCCTAACACACACACACACACACACACACATTTGGAAACATATCAACATGAACAACAG